AAGGGCGTCTTGCCGTGAATGGCATTCTCTATATATGGGGGTTTCCGAAATTACGGGGGTCCTTGTTCTAAGGGAATCCTACCATTTTGGGGGGGGTCTCTACTAGGGGTCTGTGTTTTCGTAAACTGGCTGCTAGCGAACTTAGTTCAGTCATTTTCCGGATCCGGAAAGCAACCAGAAGTACATACACATGTGTTCGAACTTGAAAATGATCCGATTTACTAAATTTGTAGAACTTGTATGGTTGCACTCTTACTAGTCAGAGTCTATATCCCCGAAGTTTAAAGTGTACATCATTGAAGTGGGTTGGTTGTCAGGACTGGAGGTCGAAGATATTCTTCAATATGTTGTACTATTGAAGGCCAGGACATGGGAAAGGGAATGCAGGACACCCTTGCCTGCTTTCATTTGAAGCCCTAACTCTAAGATTTGAACTTAAACGGTCGGTTAACCGTGTGCGTAGCTTCTTTCAGAAAACTATCACAATAGTTACATTACGCACCGTCATAATTCACTACGCGAGTAACGAAGGACAGCTACTGGGACAACTTCACACAAGACTCACAGAAAGCCTCTGAAGCCCTAAACCATGCAGGGGTCGAAAGTTTGAAGCCATTCTTTTGAGGGGTGGGCACCACGTACGCCACCCTCCGGGTATGTTATCTTGAGGTGCACCTTGTTTCACATAAACCCCTTAGACCCCCTTAACAAAGCCCCTAAAGCCTCAACCCTAAACCCTAAACCCGAAACCCTAAACCCTAAACCCTAAAAAGAAACCCTCAGACCCCTCAAAAAAGCTCCGAACATTCACGATTGGTGCGTTGGGCGGTTGCACCTGCTGGGTCAGCACTCAGAGCCAGGGCTGCCAAGGCCGCGACGGCTTCAGCCTCTTAGGGTTTAGAGGGTTTAGGGTTTAGGGTTTAAGGTTTAGGGTTTAGGGTTTAGGGTTTGGGGTTTGGGGTTTGGGGTTTGGGGTTTAAGGGAAGTGGATATGGGGGGTTCCCGAAATTAGGGGGGGGTACCTGCTTGGAGTTCCTATGCTAAGGGAATCCTATCATTTGGGGGTATTTGGGGTCCTTTGTCGTGAACCCCCATATCAACTGGGCTTAGGGTGTGGTGGTTTGGAGTTTCGGGTTTTAGAAATGAGGGCTTGAGGGTCCGTAAGCCCTAAGCCCTAAGCCCTAAGCCCTAAACCCTAAACCCTAAGCCCTAAGCCCTAAGCGCTAAGCCCTAAGCCCTAAGCCCTAAGCCCTAAGCCCTAAGCCCTAAGCCCTAAACCCTAAACCCTAAACCCTAAACCCTAAACCCTAAACCCTAAACCCTAAACCCTAAACCCTAAACCTTACCTAAACCCTAAACCCTAAACCTTCCTTCCTTCCACGGCATGGGGGTCATGAGTCAACCCGCGCGGGCCAAAAGCGTGCCGCTGTGGCAGCGCAGCCCAAATGAAAATGAGGGTGCGACCAAAGAGAGACTAGGCAGCCCGAGAGAGAGACCGCCCGTGGTGGAGCGCGGTAAGCTGGATGTCACCAGCGCTGTTCGCTACGCATGTTAGCCCAGGTGGTCGAGAAGAGACCAATACCTGGCGCCGCCGCCTGCAGGACCGTGCGCACCGCTTGGGAGAGCCCGCCATGCCATAACGCCCCAGCCTCACCAATAGATTCCAGCAGCCGGTGCAGAGAGTTGGTGTGGCGGATGAAGAGCTGTCGAACATGGGTGCAGCTGTCACAGGCGGCCCTCCCTCGAATGGCAGGGGGGCCATCCCCAGGCGGGTCCCCGATGGTCTCACATCGCAGTTTCCGGGAAGCATCCCAGAAGGGGTGGGAGTACAAGGGGACATGCGCACACAAGCCCAAATGCCCCAGAAAGGCCCCCAGTCCACCTCGAGCTTCCAAAGGCAGCAACCCGACAGGCCCACCCACCGAGGCAATGGGGCATGACACGCATCCATCAGGCGGCGCCAGACTGACCAACCAGCAGCAAATTTTCTGCAGGGCACCATCGGCACGACGAGCCTCCCCGCCAGGCAGCACAAGCGGAGGCGCAGCCACTGCAGCCTGTTCGAGGGCTTCCCAATCCTGGTGCTGCTGAAGGAGCTCAGTGTGCGTAGCCTGCCGATCCTCATCCATCACAAGTGGCCAAGAGGAGCGGCTGAGAGTCTGCAACAAAGCTACCAACAGCACAATGACAGAGCTCGGCTTCAGGTATGCAAGGCAGCTGCATCTCCCGCGCGGCGTCAGCTAGGATGTCATGGCAGTAACCGTTTCTAGGGAACTGCAGCACACAAAAGCGCCCAACTTCAGTCACAATTCGCACCGGCACAGCCTGGACATACCAGGGCAAGCTAGCAGAACGCAGGACATATTGTTCAGGAGGGAGATCTGGGAAGACGGAAAACAGGGGGAGAAGGTCAACTTCGCCCACCGTAAGACCTACCCCCTGAAGAATCTGCGCGTCTAGCAGGGGCTGCTGTCAACCTGGAAAAGCAATGGCTCCATTCCATCCACTAGCCGGCCATGGAATACTGCAATCCGTCGCAGGTGTGCGGGAGCGCAGGCGCTCTGGATGTTGAGGGGCCGCGCCCCAATGTCTTCAACTGGGTACAGGTCATGCAGGGATTGCGTTTGGGGCACACGTGGCGCAGACAGAGCCGTCCGACCATTCGGTAGCATGCGAGCATAAACTTCCGCACGGGGCGTTAACCGTCGTGCGATTTTTTGCAAATAAGCATTTGGCCTAGGCGGGAGCACGATTTTGAACGTGGTTTTAGTCCAAAAAAAAGTGCAAGTTTCAGAGGTCGTTTTGTGAAAACCATGGCAGGCGTGGTACTTTCGGTGATCGCGCATGCTTTTTTTCGTGTCTTGTTTTGAAGGTGGCTCGCAGGCCGAAAACACTGCGCATGCCGATGTTTTCGTGGTTTCACGGTTCAAAAGCGTGGTTTTTCGAAAAAAACCCATGTTTGTGCTTTTTGGTGTTATTTCGCTTGCATGCGCCGCTTCAATGCAAAACACTGTTGCCCGTAAAACAATATCGTAAAAATTTGGGCTAATGGGAATCGGGCTTACCCCTTCCCTGAATGCTTTGTGGTCCACGGTTCTTCTTGGCCGTATGCGAAGCACCAGGAAACGGGGGGGGCAGCAGGCTTCAGGGACTTTGGTGAAGAGCTAAGGGATTTGTGCTGGTCGGCCTCTTGGGGGGTTTGAGGTTTAGGGTTCAGGGGTCTGAGTATAGGATTGACGAGGGTCTTCTGCTGGGCTAGAGGAAGGCAGGGCAAGAATTCAGGAGTTAAGAATGGCACTGGAAAGCTTGTTTGGCCCACGTCCGTCTGGTCACAAGCTGGCCAAGTAATGGCCGTGCTGGAAAGCAAATCTCCCATCTCCATTGATAAATTGATAAGATCTGGCGTATTTCCATAGATCGGGATTCGGCACTCCTTTGGAGTGACTGCGCAAGGTGTTCGGGATACTTTTCTTCAAGATACTCCAAAAGTCCAAAAGGAATCAACCCCTCCTGTATTCACATGTACCAGCTTTCGGTGGCCACTTTCACCTTCAGGGAGAAAATACCTGGACTTGACAACTGTTGTGCCTGCATGCGTCGCAGTTACACGTGGACACTCAAGAAGAACCGATGCTATTATGACCCCCCCCCCCACCCCCGACCCCCCCCCACCCCCCAACCCCCCCCACCCCCCACACCCCCCACCCCCCACCCCCCCACCCCCCCCACCCCCCCACTCCCCCGCACCCCCCCAAAGCCCCCTTATACCCGAAAGGTGGGGGTGGCTAAGGCTCCAGGTCCAATGGGGTTAACAGGCGGTACGGCGGTCGAAGTGTTCGAGTGGCCAGGGATGGTTGGAAGCTGCGACAACCAAGGCGCAACCAAACCCCCCCACCCCCCCACCCCCCCCAAAACCCCCAACCAACCGCATTCAAAAGTCACGACGGTAATTGACCCGTCGGCATAAACTTGCATCACCGACGTGACATCCAGCTGCGGCGTGAGGTTCGTGCTGCGCACCGGTGCAGGATGCCTGGCGTGCTGCGCGCCCGTCTGCGAGGGCAGCGCTGGGAGGTTCCTGGCCGGGGCATCAGAAGGAAGAGTTAACAAGAGACAGAAAAGAAAGCCTCGGAACCTGGACCGAACCTAAACCCTATAAACCCTAAACCCGACACCCTTTTTAGCTTTTCAGCAAGCAGGAGGTACGCCCACAGGATGTGGGCTTGCGATCGGCTTCCCGCCTCCACTGTGGACGGTTTGCCGGCGGCAACCATATCAACCAGGGGTTGAATCTGACTGTGCTCCTCACCTCCAAGCCGGCTCATGAGACTCCGACAGGTTTCGTGTCCCCTAAACCCTAAACCCTAAACCCTAGACTCTTAACCCTACGGCTCATGGGATTTCAGAGCCTGTGCCGGTGATGTCGCCGTACACATCCGCGTCGCTGCCAAGGCTCTCGCCCTGCACGCCCGCGCATCAGGGTGTCGGGCTAGGGGTTTAGGGGTGTGGGGTTTAGGGTTTAGGGTTTAGGGTGAAGCTTGGACACAAGCCTCAGCTCTGACCGACTCTGAGACGGTTGCTGCATGCGCTTGCGAACTACTGACCCCCCATGTTGGTTCAAGAGAAGCGAGGCAGGGTTCACCATGTCAGCAATCAGGCTCGACCGCAAGTGCTTGGATGCCTGAGCAGAGGCACAGCTATCACATCTCCTCTCTGCTTTTCCACTCTCTCCCCCTGCTGTGAGCCATGCTCCCCAAGTTCTGCCTCGTCAAAAGCATGTGCAAAGGCGAGCGCGTCGCCGCTGCAACGTCGGAACCTGGCAGGTGCACGCTGCTCTGGCAGGAGAAAGCGGGGATGCCAAAGCGGCAACGTGCTCCCCCAACAGCAAGTTTTGTCAACATGAACGCTTCTGCAATCACTGTAATGGCCCCGGAATCTGTGCCCGACGTTGTTCGTCAAGGACATCGAGGTAAAGTGGTGAAATGAGCTGTGCTGTTGGGCTATGCATCTGCCGGTGCCACAGGAGCTGCTGGCAGACCATAGCCCGCGCCTGCAGGGGAAAGCGACTTGCAAGAACGCGAGAATGCCTTAAGGAACTGGCGCTTGATGATCTCCCTTTTCGCGCGAACCTGCATCTTGCCCATAGCCCCCTGCCGTGTTCCAGGTCTTGTCTGTCCACTGGGCCTGTGTGCCACGGCAACACGTGTGGCTCAGATTTCTCGCACGACAGGAAGTTCTCAGCAATTCGCCTCGGCTTCCTGCCGAGAAGCGTCTGGAACAAGCAGACCCGGATCGGGCCTCCTTCCCCCTAACCCAACCCTTCCCCCCCTGCAGAATTTTCTGACGCCACCCCCCCACCCCCCCCCCCCCCCCCCCCCCCCCGCCCTGTGGGACCCCCCCCAATCGCTTGGAGGAGCTGCAAACCGACGCCGTGGAGGGTCCTGCCTACAGGGAAATTCCTCAAAAACCCCCCGCCCCACCCCCCCCCCCCACCCCCCCCCGCCCCCCCCACCCCCCCGCCCCACCCCCCCCCCCACCCCCCCCTTTTTGCGAAACCCTCTTTCCTCCTTTCCTGTCCTGGGGCCGGCCCGGCTGCCGAGGCGGTGCGCGCAAGCGTTTACAATTAAGGTCCTGTTTTGCGGCACTCTTAAACACACCGAAATTACCCTAAACCCTAAACCCTAAACCCTAAACCCTAAACCCTAAACATACAAACCCGCAACATTCTCGACCTGCAACAGAGGCAGCACTGTTGCCAGGCGGCCTGTCGCAGGCTGCAGCCGAGCTTCAGACTTATCATCCCACCAGTCATCCCTCCAATGGCTCTGTCCCTGTCAAGAAAGGTTTTAGGGTTTAGGGTTTAGGGTCTAGGGTTTAGGATTTAGGGTTTAGGGTTTAGGGTTTAGGGTTTAGGGTTTAGGGACAAAGTAAGGTTTCAGGGTATCACACGGAGCCTCGTATGCAAGATACCTACCGGGTAGGCTACCTACCCAAATGCCCAGCTCACAACGCATTCCACATCGCCTGCCACCACTCCTCCCACTCCTCGTCGGTCCACTGTTGACGAGATGCCCACCAGCTATGCCACTCCTAAGGCGTAGCAGCAAGCTGTCAGTATCAGCAGACTGTCCTCTATTTTCATTTTTCTTATAATTATTACTATTGCTATTACTATTTGTCTATTTCCATTACCATTACCAGTACCATTACCAGTACCATTACCATTACTATTCCTACTACTATTACCATTGCTATTACCATTACCATTACCATTACCATTCCTATCACATTTACTGTTGTCCAACCTCTGAGCCGAGCAACTTCGTCAGTCCATGCCTCCCACTGCTTGATCGTCCAGTCGACTTCGCTGTCTCCAATGCGATCCCATCCAGGTTGATGCCACTGGTTCGCCAGAAGCTCTTGGATCTGAGCACGCGCAAACATATCAGCCACTTCAAAACATGATTCTCTTATTACTATTATTCTTCGTAGTATTCGTAGTATTAGTAGTATTACTGTTATCGTACTATTACTATTGCTATTACTACTACTATGGCGATTACTATTCCTATTACTATTACTATTACTATTACTATTACTATTACTATTACTATTACTATTACTATTACTATTACTATTGCTATTACGATTACGACTACTGTCCATGTGAGGTGTCTCTGTGGCAGCTTGGCACTGCTGCAAAGATGGCTTCCTCTGCAGAACTGTGAGGCTTGGCATCCCGCCTCAGGACTTTCTTTGAGTCCTTCCGTTGGCACTCCAGGGTTCAGGGTTTCGGGTTTAGGGTTTAGGGTTTAGGGTTTGGTAAGGACTCTGCACAGCATCTTCTCAAGTACACATGATCCCCGTCCGAAGATGTATTCGATCCAAGTTTGGTACCTGAAGCTCCGGCACATGACAGCTGCAACCACGCACGGAAGGTTTAGGGTTTAGGGTTTAGGGTTTAGGGTTTAGGGTTTAGGGTTTAGGGTTTAGGGTTTAGGGTTTAGGGTTTAGGGTTTAGGGTTTAGGGTTTAGGGTTTAGGGTTTAGGGTTTAGGGTTTAGGGTTTAGGGTGCCCTGTTGGCACCCACGCTTTCATGGAGACTTATATGCAGGGGGCACACAACGAAGGGGACCGCAGCTTCGAGCCCCGCACCCCCGAAATACAGGGGTCGGAATAATAACTGATAATATTAAGGATAAGAATAAGAATAAGAATACGAATAAGAATAAGAATAAGAATAAGAACAAGAATAAGAACACTAAGAATGATAAGAATAATACTAATATTAATATTCATAATATTAATATTCCCTTACGGTCCCTTTGTAAGTAGACTATAATAACCCCCAAAACCCAATTTTGTTTATTCTTCAGGCCCCTAAATTACCGAGGCCAGGGTTCTCGAGGAGTCTGATCATGGCATTGACGATTCCTGACGTCTCCACGTCTCCGGTCTCCTGGGCATACTCGAGCATGGCCTCGAAGAGCAAAATTCAAGGGTTTGGGGGTTTAAGGGTTAAGGGTTTAGGGGTTAAGGGTTTAGGGTTTAGGGTTTAGGGTTTAGGGTTTAGGGTTTAGGGTTTAGGGTTTAGGGTTTAGGGCTTGCTGTAATATGGTGCGGAACCTGTGAAGGTTGGGATGCAAACTCGGCCCGAAGGCTTCGACATTTTTATCCCACCCCACGCTGTCTAGGCGGCAAATCCACCGGAACCTATTCCTTTTCGGGTTTAGGCCTAAACTCCAGGTAGGTCGAGGGTGGTAGCTTTCAGGGGTTCCAGGGAGCTCAGGGGGTGCCGGGAGCTCGGAACTCCGGTACCATCGTGGGTGCTACCCGATATCGAGGTTCAGCCGTTTAAGCGCGCGCGCCGCTGTAGGGGAGCGGCCCAGGCCTTGAGTTTCAGAGAAGGGGTGAAGATGCCGGACAAGAACTCTCGATTCCTCACGCCAGTACACGTGCCACCACTACCAAGAAGAGTGCCGCAACCCCCTCTCCAGTTTTCAAGTTTTGGTTTTTTGGGGTTTAGGGTTTTGGGAAACCAGTTCACCCCAAACACTCCTTAGAATCATAATGGGCGGGGGGGGGAACTATAATCCCTATATATTCGTATTAAGGACTGTTAGTACAAACGGGAACATCCCAACCCTAAATCCTAAATCCTAAATCCTAAACCCTCACTTGTTGTTTAAGCGCGACTCCCAAATGCGCCTCTAGGTGCCACTCCGCAAGCCCTTTCCTGAGAAGAGGCCAGCTCGGGTTTAGGGTTCAGGGTTCAGGGTTCAGGGTTTAGGGTTTAGGGTTTAGGGTTTAGGGTTTAGGGTTTAGGGTTTAGGGTTTAGGGTTTAGGGTTTAGGGTTTAGGGTTTAGGGTTTAGGGTTTAGGTTTGGGGTTTAGGGTTTGGGGTTTGAGGTTTGGGGTTTGGGGTTTAGGGTTTGGGGTTTGGGATTTAGGGTTTAGGGTTTAGAGCTTAGGGGTTTAGGGTCGTTTGGCACATTCTCTGTCGGCAATGGGAGCCATGCTATGGGATATCACAGGGCAATTCTTGACCATCATCCGCACAGAGATGGTCATGGCCAAGCACGATTTGATGCGTCTGTACCCTACAGTAGAAGCCTTCATTTCTCCGACAGGGCCGTGCAAGACAAGAATGGTGTTGCTTGCAATCTGGAAAATGCAACCCACCCACCCACCCACCCACCCGATAATATATAGATATACAAAAACCTTCTCCAGTACGGTTCACGGCGAATCTTTTTGGACACTGGAGTATTGCAAGCGGCTTACAAGATGAATGGCCTCGAATCGGATGAAGATTCGCTGTCCATCAGCAAAAGCCAAAGGATTCTGATACAGGGGGGGAGTTCCTTTGAAAGGATTCTATAGTACTCTGGTATAAACGGGGTACCCCTATTTTGGGAAATACCCACACTTTCTCACGCAATCCCTTCGAAAAGCCAAGCGCGACTAGGGAAAGCAGCTCAGAAAACCACCGAGTCGCCCCGGTTAGCCAGGATGGAGCCACCCGGAATCCGCGAGTAGCCCTAAACCCTAAACCCTAAACCCTAAACCCTAAACCCTAAACCCTAAACCCACAAAACCCGCAAGCCCGCCACGCAACGCTTTACCTTGACGGGCGTCGCGGCGAGCCATGCGGAGACCGCCTTCTCCAGGTTCTCCCGGAACTCCTTGGCTTGAGCTCAGATGAAAGAAGCCTTAACTAGCAATAAGAAACATTACCTATAAGAAACAGAATCCTTCTGCTTCTGATACCAGTAAAAGTAGTACCAGTAGCAGCAGTACATTACAAAAATATATAGAAAGAAAAAAGAACAAATTCAACGGCAACACAGCTGCTCATCGTGCCTAGAGTGGGGCCCCCGCTATCCCATTGCTTGCCCCTTGCGCGGATGCTCCGGCAAAATTGCCAGCATTTGCCGAGGATCCTCATGAAGCTTGCTGTAGACGAAGAGGTGGGTCTCTTGCTTCTCCCTAAAGAAGTGGCCATAGTGCGCCAGGAAATGTCTCAGGTACCCCCCGAAGCCTTCTTGGTCGGTATACCAGCTCTTGAACTCCGCGAGCAGTGGCTCTTGCCATGCCATGGCACAGCTTACACCCACAGCCCTAAAGCCTAAAGCCTAAACCCTAAACCCTAAACCCTAAACCATCAAGATCGAGGGACACTTGAGCCAAGCCGGCCTGTCAGGTCACCCACTTCAAGGCTGATTCAAGCTGCTTCCAATGCTGAGTCGTGGCACTCCTACTGCTTGTGAATGGCTTGTGTCCGCTGGTCGCTCTGGCACGAGCCATGACATAACCTGCCCATATGGGGGTTTCCGAAATTAGGGGTGCCTTATGGGGGTCCTTATTGCAAAGGGATCCTACTACTTGGGGGTCTATTTTCGGGGTCCCCCATTTTCGCAAACCCCCATATCCATACCTGCCCCCCGGTTGCAAGCTGGCCAAGGGCGCTCGAAGAGGAGTTTGGAAGAATCTTGTGCTGACGAGTAGATACGTGCCTGCATAGCGCGTGGCGCTTCTGAGGGTCACACGATGAGATCAACAGCTTGGGATGTTCCCCCCTATTCGCACAGTCCTTCATCGGGACTATCATAGGAGGTACTAGAATCCCTACTAAGGACTGTTAGTAGAAGGGGGAACATCGCAATGACTTGAGGTGCCTTGAGCAAGCAGCTGACGAGTACTCCGCTGCAGCTTGTGTGGAAGAAAGTGGCCTCAGGGCAGGCAGAAGAGTGTCCTTTTTCATGGCAGACACGAAGCAAGCCTGAACCATCTTTTCTGCTCTGCAGTGTCTGCACTGTCTGCACTCTTCTAGACCTTGCTCCAGAGGCATGGAGGCTTGTAGAACTTGTTGAGCTTGAACCTTCTCGATTGAACTCATGGCGATGAGGTTCCGCAGCCATCATCTTCGCGACCCTTGCGTTCAGGGGCTGGAAGTTGCAAGATCTGTAAAGCGAAACCGCATTCCTTTGCCCCAGAAAGTGCCGCATTATAAACAATACTGAGCCATGTCTGACATCGATCCACACCATAGTCTGCATGCTGCGTCGTGGAGGACTCATTGTACCAGTAGCCCGTATCCGATTTCGGACGACAGAACAATCTACATGACAGTGCACCACAGCGTGTCTGAAGGAAATTTGCGCAAGCCTCCAGGAACCTCACTCTCATTGGCCCAGCACAGGACATGCTTCTCAGCTTACTACGTAGTGCCCCACGCTTTCACGGAATCCTTAGCTGCTGACTGCCACGGCTGTCTGCACGTGTCGCCTTTGATGGCGAGGTGCCGTGCCCACTGCTGAAGAGGGCGAGGCAGATTTTGGTTGCTACAGTAGCATTGGGCTATGCATGTCAGATGTTTCTGAGAGCATCGCTGACGGGGATCTCGGCAACCGGTAATCTCTCAAGCAGTTGGGTCGTCGGGCTCGTGTGCAGCGGAAGCTCCGGTGGTGCCCTCAGCACGGCATCGGCCGGGCCCGTCGGGCCAGTGGCCCATCGTGGCCCACACGGCTTGGAGCCAGCGCCCTGATGCTGCCATTGCTGCCTTGCTATGTCCTGGTCTGCCGCTGGGTGCTGTGGCCCGAAACATCCACCAGGGCCGAACTAGCCACCAAGCCCCGACGGTGCTGGCTCGACTGCGAACGCCTGGCACTGTGGGATGTAAAACTGATGTAAACACCAAACCCTCGGCCTGGTGAGTGGCTTTTTGGAAGCAGGAGGGACAACCGCTGCGGCTCGGTGATCCCCCGGCGCCCAATGAGTGCCCTCTTGGTCATCCTTGACGTGCCGCCACTGCTGCGCAGGACAGCAGTGGCAGCTTACCCCGTCCGCTGTTCTTCGCGTTGCAACGATAGGCTGACCACGCCCCCAGCTCCTGCCACGCCCCCGAGATGAGCTGCCACCTTGGAGCCTGCGAGGATCTGGGCTCACCTGGCCTCCAAAGGCCTCAGCGGCTCGCCTTCAGCTCTTCTCCTTCCTTCAAGGCGCTCTTCCGCAAGACACACGACACAAACCACAGAAGCGATGTCGTGTCAGGGCGCCTTCACCACACGCTGGGGCCCCAGCTCGTTCAGTCCCGGAGCGCCGCCTTTCCCTAAGTTGGCCCTAAATGGTGCCAGTAGAGTGCTGTGCCACCAACCACCCGAGCTAGTCGTCCGCTATACTGTTCTCGGTCTTGTCGGCCCCACGTCTGTTTTCTAAACCCTAAACCCTAAACCCTAATCCCTAAGCCCTGAACCCTAAACCCTAAACCCTAAACCCGTCATTCTCCCGGTGGCTTTCCGCGGCTCCGGCCTCGAGCAGATCGAGATTCACACCGTCTTCGAGGCTGCGCAGCTGGTTTGCCACGTCAATCTCTAATCGAGGAGCCACTTTTAGGGTTTAGGGTTTAGGGTTTAGGGTTTAGGGTTTAGGGTTTAGGGTTTAGGGTTTAGGGTTTAGGGTGCTGCTGACTTTCAAAAAGGCCACACAAATCCAACAAGTGCGGATGCCCGCAGTCCAGCAGTCGTGAGGAAGGGCACGAGGCTTGCTGTGGTCTCGGTGCTCTTGCTCAGAGTAAGCCACCACACTTTGCCGCGGCCACTAGCATGAGAATCGGACCACTCAGCAACAAGCACACCAACAGGAATTACCGGCTGGCTCTTAGTCGGGAATGAGGGGAATGAGGGCCCTACACAATGCCTTAAAGGGTATATATAGGGCCCTAATTCCCTCAATCCCTACGAAGAACCACGGGAAATAAAGCAGCCAATGCCAAGGTGGCCTTCATGGCCAACTTCGCTTCCCGCAGTTTGGAGAAGGAGGCTGATGCCTCTCGCGCACGGGTTTGCTGCGGTTTTGGGCGCCACGACTTTAGAGGTATGGGTTTAGGGTTTAGGGTTTAGGGTTTAGGGTTCAGGGTTCAGGGTTTAGGGTTTAGGGTTTAGGGTTTAGGGTTTAGGGTTTAGGGATGCCTCTCCCTTCTCACGGGGTTACTTGGGATTTCGTGTACAACGGCGCAATGCCCCTATATCATAGGGACGGAGAGCTCAGGCCACACGATTGGAAACCCTCCAGCCGCCTTCGTCTTGAAAAAGTTGAAGGCGCAAGTGAAGGCCTGCACAAGACAGGTTCCCGATGAATCCCTGAAATCAGTTGCCACGCTGTTGATATGAAAAACAAAGATAGGGAGCTTACAGGTACTACAAGTATAGCTATACCGCCACTGGTGGGGGAGGAGGAATTTCGGACTGTTCAAACCGGGCATCTTCAGTCAAACCGAGCGCAGGTTCAAGCTCGTTGCATCCGGAGCCCTAAACCCTAAACCCTAAACCCTAAACCCTAAACCCTAAACCCTAAACCTAAGACTCGGAGCATGCCGCGAAGGTCCCGGGAAGCCCTTGCCTGCTCGGGATGGACGCCTGGCAGCTCAACGCAGGTGTTCAGGCAGCCACCCGGGGGCTCCTCACAAGCGACTGAAATCGACTTCGGTTTAGGGTTTAGGGTTTAGGGTTTAGGGTTTAGGGTTTGGCGTTTGGCGTTTAGGGTTTAGGGTTTAGGGTTTAGGGTTTAGGGTTTAGGGTTTAGGGTCTAGGGTCTAGGGTCTAGGGTCTAGGGTCTAGGGTCTAGGGTCTAGGGTCTAGGGTCTAGGGTCTAGGGCTTGTGGAACATCCAAGTTCTCAATCCAGTCCTGAGCCGGCGTGACGTGTGCAGGAAAAGCAAGCTCACATTCCTGGACCTGCCACTCGGGACTGATGCATTCAGGCGTCATCCACGGGCATCAACACTTGGAGGTTCATGGGAAATTATAACCACAATTATAAATCTACGTATAACCTACTTAGGGGACTTAGGGTGCTTATAAGTACAGTTATAATTGGGGTTATAAGTACCCTGAACCTCCAAGCACCGTTCCCGTCTGCAGCGACGCCTTCTGCACAATTGAGCCAGGCTTGTGGTCGAAATCAAAAGGCATTCTGTCGAGCCGGAATGAGGCCTCCTCTCCTGCAGAAGCCACCGGCACCGTAACCCTAAACCCTAAACCCTAAACCCTAAACCCTAAACCCTAAACCCTAAACCCTAAACCCTAACTCGCCGTTCTGGCAGGCTTCAGTCTTCGATGCCGATGGCTTACGGACATACGGGACCCCTTGAAAGAATCTCCCAGAGAGTAGGATTCCCCTCATATCATCAGGTACCCCAAGAAGGTACCCCCGAATTTCGGAACCCCCCCATCCCACAGACTCCAAGAGACGCATGCAATGCTGAGGGCCATAAGCCCTAAAACCCTAAGCATGCCTAAATTGCGACTACGGTCCTGGAAAAGGCGTGTGGAACATGCCCGGATCCTCCTGGCAGGGTTTAGGGTTTAGGGTTGAGGGTTTAGGGTTTAGGGTTTAGGGTTGAGGTTTGAGGGTTTAGGGTTTAGGGTTAAGGGTGCCCCCGAATTCGCCAGGGTCCTCGCGTGAACGCACATCGTTCGTCGGGCTTGCAGCTAAGTCCCGCACCAACTGCACCCCTCGTGGAACATTTTCCGGCCTTCACTGGACAGAGCTCCAAGACTCTGACGAAAACTGGAAGGGTTTAGGGTTTAGGGTTTAGGGTTTAGGGTTTAGGGTTTAGGGTTTAGGGTTTAGGGTTTAGGGTTTAGGGTTGCAACCTCATCAAGAAGCTGAGATGGGGGCACGTTGTAAAAGTCGCCAGCTAGCCGCATCTCTAACGCGGACTGGTCCAGCCTTGCCCATGCAGAAAGCCTAAGGGCCCCTACAGGGTTACGAGTTTAGGGCTCAGGGGAACACTAAAACCTTACAGCCCAACACAGACACAAAAACAAACACTCCCAAATCCAACGTCCCTAAACCCTAAACCCTAAACCCTAAACCCTAAACCCTAAACCCTAACGTCTCAATCCAGGCCACACCCCCACTGAGCTTCTGGAGACGCCGCCTCGGATCGTCGGACATCGCTGAAGCGGAAAAAGCCGATGCAAACATGATCTAGACTGCAGGGTTTAGGGTTTAGGGTTTAGGGTTTAGGGTTTAGGGTTTAGGGTTTAGGGTTTAGGGTTTAGGGTTTAGGGTTTAGGGGCTCAGGGTTGAGGGTTTAAGGTTCAGGGTTTGGGGCTGACTGGTGGGTACAGTGAGGCAGCCACCATCGAATTCGTCCAAACCGACTACGAAGCCAGCCGATTGGACCTGAGTCCAAGAGTGCTCAGCACTCCTTCGGAGGGGGGGCTTCCTTCTTGAAGGGGATACACGATGCTTGAGCGATACTGTAAGAGGGGACCCCCTAAACCCTAAACCCTAGAGGGGTCCCCCTAAACCCTAAACCCTAAACCCCAAACCCCTAAAAGCCCCAACCCCCCCCCCCCCCCAATTTTGGAAACCACTGCCCCCCCTCATCCCCCGAGGCTCGCGGCCAGCGACAAGCTGCCCGGGGGGGGCGTGGGCTGCTCAGATAGCCTGGTATTTTCAGACTACTTGGAGGTTCATGGTACTTACGAACCAAGTATAACTGCACTTCTAACCCTACTTATACTACCCCTGAAGGGCCTTATAGGGGGTTATCCCACTTATAAGTAGGGTTATGAGTACAGTGATAGTTGGCTAGTAAGTACCATGAACCTTCAAGTAAGCTTCAGAAGCAGAGCGCACACCTTTGGTTTCGGAGTCGGCTTCTCCAAGGTTCCGGCCCAATGTCATTACTCCATTCTTCCATGATCTCGCTCTGCTAAGCCTCTTCGGATACCGGAGGGTTCCTTTCTCGGAGCACGCGCGCGCACGCGCGCTCAGTCTTCGCACGCTTGCCATGCTACCGGTGCAGACACCCTGGGCACAGGCAGTCCTGCCGGGGTCTTCAACGTGACATCCTCGATAGCCCCGCCCATCCCAACTTCCCGCCCTTCTCAGGTCCTCGCATGGAATTCTTGGTGGAAAGGAATCCCCGCCTCTTTCACGAAAGGGAGCGAGTCCGGGTGCATTTGCTGCTGCACCCCTTGAGCCCGAAGAAATTCCATGTCATGAGCTGACCTGCCATATATCCTGCTCACCTTTTGAGCCTTCTTTCATGCTCTTTAGTACAGGCGCCATGTGAACACACTCACGAGGCTCACACTGAAAGTGGGACCTTAAAAACTTGTGAAGCCGATGGTGTGGCAAGCCCTTGGCTTTGATCACATCTTGGAAAATCTGTAAAAAACAAGTTTGATGTTTCCAGGTGTTTGAGGAAGCTGCCCTGATCATGAGTCTTCGTTTTGCCTACAAAAGTGCCCCCAAAAAAATGGGACCCAAGTCAGGCGTGTAGGGACGAAGAGCGGCGAATACAAGGTATGCACAAAAAGCATGATGTGCCCGTTCAAACGGCTCCCCTCTAGCACAACCTCCCGCCATCGGCTGCGCAGCTATATCTTGCCGATGGCCCTCATCAGCCTCTTTCGGTGGCATTGTGTAAAACATCGGCTTGGTTAGCGGAAGCCTTGTCCCTCTCCCTGAGAGCCGTTCCAGAGAATGACATGACATGGCGTTCTTCTGGCGGCTGCCGCAGCAGCGTTTCTGACCTGCATCACCTGCACTCACACCTATGCACTCTCCACTCAGCGCCCCATCTTTTGCCAGCAGCCGCACGCAGAGTCGGCACGACACATGGAGGCAGAGTTTCATGCCTCCTTGTGCCCCCCATTCTACGCCAACGAAGGCTAACTGACCCCTACCCCTGTAACTAGTCTTTGACGGCAACTGACCAGTACAGGTACCCTTTACAGCTAAAAGCATACTGAGCTTCAACAGCGTCTACTGAATCCCGCGAAAATGCTTTGAGTGTAGTCTTCCGGGGCCTACCCTTCTTAGGGTAGTTACATGGTCCCTGAGTATGGGCCCTTAGAAGGGACCCTATATATATATATATATATATCTATATATATATATATCTATATATATATATATACCCCTTAAGGGCGGTAAGGGAGCTTGGAATCCTGGAGTCGGCAGAGTCCTAGCAACCCCCTACTGGCTAGCGTCTGCCTCAGCGTCGCCGCTGGCTGCAATCTCATCATCCTCCGAGCAAGCACAAGGGTGCGAACATGTCCGATGAAGATGCTACAGCACGAAGTCACTTAGGGCTGAATACCCTAACCCAAAAAAAGGTTAAGCTGCTAAATAGAATAGGATCTACATAACCAACAAGGTTCAAGGTTGCCTACCCAGTCCCGAAGGTCATGTCCTTGGCATAGAGGATATTTTGCACTTCTTCCACAAACTTGTTGACAGTCATGTTCATATCGGGATTCTCTTCCCAAGCCTGGACCAAGCTGCGCAAATCTTGCACACCCGGCTCTCTAGAGGCAGTGCAGCCTTTTGCACTTGCCAAGCGCATTTCATGCCCACATTGCAAGCCCCGCGCTTGACACATGATTTCAATGTCTCTGAGCTTTTGGAAGTAGAAGTCCCGCTCGGTCTCCAAGCCATCGACCTCGACAAGCTGGTATGCAAACCACGGGGCTTACTCATTTTCAAAGATGCAACAGACACTGAGAGGATCTCTGTAATCTTCAAGTCGATCACTTCTTCACGGATGCGTTCATGCTCCTCCTGTTCGGCAGTGAGTTCTAAAGATGTTGGGCACTTACGATGGGCCGAAGCTGAAGCCGAGTCTTTCTTGCCACTGCGCTCTGATCCTGCTTCCGTCTGGTGTAGACGTCGGCTCACTGCCACAATGTACAGTCTTTAAGTCCATACTCGGACTCGAACATCTCGAAACTATCTGAAGTTGCGTGACATCTGTGCGGGAGCTTTCGCACACCACCCCAAGTCCTACAACACTGCCTGGGACTGCTCGATGTCCGTGTGATCGAGCTCTGGCCGCCAGCTCTAAGCGGCTCCGCGGGCTTCATTGTGGCACATACCCCCGACGCGCGGAAAGCGGCTTCGACTCCGGAAGCGGACGTTTGTAGCTGTAGCAACTGGCCAGTGTGGCGGAGCACTGACATCGGATGCACGGAAGCTACACAGAAGCCTACGTTCCATTCCAGGAGGCCTCATCGAAGCCCAGACGCTCGGCCGCTTTGCGCTCGGCGTTCGACAGCTTCCTCCAGGCCTTGCTCCAGACGGGCGCCGTGCCGTTGTCCCAGGCATTCTTGCTCTTGACGCCGAGCTGCAAGGCCCAGGCCCGCTCTGTGTCGCTGAGGTCCGCCCAGCTCTTGTCACACGCTGGATCCTGGGACTCCTGGTGCTCCCTCTTGTTCCAGCTTGTCTGGGTGAAACCCAGACCTTGGGCTGCCTGCCGTTGGAGGAAGGAGAGCTGATCCCAGCTTGTCTCCCAGACCTTGGCCGTACCTTCATCCCAGGCAGAGGCGCTCCGGATGCCCAGTTGGGCTGCAAGCCTCTGCTCGCTCTCCGTCAGATCTTCCCAGGACTTCAGCGCGGCATCCTGCTTTGCCAAGAAGCTCCGCAGTTGCGGCAAGGCGTCGCTGGCTGCGAGCTCCAGGCGGAACAGCCGTGCCAGGAATTTGGCCACCTCAAGCACTTCCTCCGCGCTGTAACTCGCCGCGTGCGTCAGGCCCTTGACGACGACGTGCTCCACAGTGGCCGCCTTCTTGCTACTGCTCAAATTCCGCTTGACGAGCGCCAGCGCGAAAGTATCCTTCGCAAGGGCTTGCAGAAAACAAGAAGGCTTCTTGGTCTCTAGGCCCTTGTACTGGCTCACACGGATGCATGCTGGCGCACGCGGACGTCTTTCTGCAGGCCGGCAGCGTCAACGTCACCACTTACAGCCAGAAGCGGAAGTCGCCTTGGAACTTGCTGCGAGGCGGTTGAACCTGGCAGTATCCAGAGAGGCTTCTGGCCAAAAAGACGCTCTCAGCTTGGGATGTTCCCCCTTCTACTAACAGTCCTTAATAGGGATTCTAACATCCCTATTAGAATCCCTATTAAGGACTGTTAGTATCCTATTAGAATCCCTATTAAGGAGCCGTTAGGTATCAGGGGGAACAGCCCCGCTCTCAGCAGCGGTCCTAGAACCAGCGACCGCAGCATGACAACGCCTTCCAGGGGCACGACAGGGAGCTTTTCACTGGGGCCTGCTACAAAAGTCACCACATTCTAGTAGTTCTTCTATTTGGGTACCTATGAGGGGCATTCCACTATTTCTTCTATTTGGGTACCTGCAAGGGAACCCCGACTTTCCGAGAAGCGACCTCCACAAAGACCAAAGCAAGCGGGCCTGCAACTGCCTGCGCCGATGTCAGGGCCGCATCGCAGGCCACGCATCCGCCCTGCGAGGACCCCATGAGCAAGACCTCCGCATCTTCACAGACTCAGGTTCAGGTTGGGATGTTCCCCCTTGTACTAACAGTCCTTAATAGGGATTGAGATAGGGTACTATAATCCCTATTAAGGACTGCTAGCAGAAGCAAAAGGGGGAACATCCTCAAGTTCAGGGTTTAAGAGTTGAGGGCTTATGGGGAAAAGATTCTCTGCGCAGGATCCTAAGGGCCACGCTCGTGGAGAATCATCTTTCCACAGCTGCGACAGAACCTGCACCTGAGTCACCACAGCACGACTCATGAAGACAACCAGGGGGCTTCCGAAATTGGGGGTACCTTATTGAGGGCCTTATGAGGAGAGGATCCTACTAGTTGTGGGTCTATAAAAGGGTCCCCTTATTATCGCCAACCCTAAACCCTAAACCCTAAACCCTAGACCCTAAACCCTAAACCCGAAACCCCCCCACCAAGCAAAAGATGCTGACCTGCTGTGCGCATGACCTCCTCCTGCACCATTGCGTGAATGACGCGTCGAATCTCCAAAAGCTGCTCTTGATTGATCTCGTCCTCCTTCCAAGCACTTGCTACCCTAAACCCTAAACCCTAAACCCTAAACCCTAAACCCTAAACCCTAAACCCTAAACCCTAAACCCTAAACCCTAAACCTCTCTCATGCATCACAGACTATCACACACTCCAGGCTCCGTCCTCCAATGCACCGCTGCGGTCTGTAAGGTACTCGAACCAAGCATTCATCCCTCGGCAAAGCACCGGGGAAACCATGCAAAACCTGATGAAGTACAGCGACATTGACACAGCGGGGCGGTTCTGATGTCAGCTGAGAAACTCTCACCCCACACCAATCTGCGAGGCGCATCGACGCCGACGCATCGAAGACCTGCAGGGAAACAGCAAAGCTCCGAAGTCGGAACAGTGTCATGCTGCGGATATGGTCACTTCTCTCAAATATGGTCTCTTTTGGGGCCCTTATGATAAGGCGGGCCCTCGTATTTAGGATACCCCAAAACAGACCATAATTTAGAGAACTGCATGAAATGGCTTCAAAGACCCTGGCCCACCTGCGAGATCCAGCTTGATGGACCTGCGCACATGGGGTTTAGGGTTTAGGAGGGAATAGGGTTTAGGGTCTGAGGTTTAGGGTTTAGGGTTTAGGGTTTAGGGTGTAGGGTTTAGGAGGGTTTAGGGTTACTGCTACCAGGCGCAGCCTCACTACCTGCAGCCAGCAGGCGTGGGTATTTCCAATACTGGGCAACCTCAATACACCCAGAAGCACTAAAATCCCTATCAGAGGAACCCAGAACCACGTACCCCTAAACCCTCAACCCTCAACCCTAAACCCTAAACCCTAAACCCTCCTTTGGGAAACCCCAGCTGTGGAGCCCATGGGAGCCTCAGGGCGTCGAAGAAAGGGCCCCAGTATCCACTGTCGTCCCCGAGCCCATGGAAGCAGAAGATGGTCACCTGGCGCCAAGGAGTGCTTGGGTCTGGGGCTTAGGGCTCAGGGTTTCGGGTTTATGGTTTAGGGTTTAGGGTTTAGGGTCTTGAGTTTGGAGGGTTTGAGGGTTTGAGGGTTTGAGTGTCTGAGGGTTTGAGGCTTTTAGGGATTTAAGGGATTTAAGGGATTTCAGGGATTTCAGGGATTTAAGGGATTTTGGGGATTTTAGGGATTTTAGGGCTTCAGAAAGCTGTTCGCGCACCTTGTGCTCTCCAGAGGGCTCCAGGATGGGGCATGTGCTAAGCGTTCGAGTTGAAGCATCGCCTCCGGTAGGGTTTAGGGTTTAGGGTTTAGGGTTTAGGGTTTAGGGTTTAGGGTTTAGGGTTTAGGGTTTAGGGTTTAGGGTTTAGGGTTTAGGGTTTAGGGTTTAGGGTTTAGGGTTTAGGGTTTAGGGAAAGAGAGATGATGGCCCGCAGTCACGTGATCCACAGGTGCATCGCACCTTCTGCTTGTCTGTAGCCCCCAGGGGACCTGGCATCAAATTTAGTAGGGAATGAGAGAATGAGGGCCCTGTATAATACCTTAAAGAGTACATGTAGGGCCCTAAGTCCCTCATTCCCTACTGGGTCCAGCCCGAAGGTCGCAAACCTTGCGAACTTTGCGTGTGCCAACACTGCGCCCCCTGACCTTCCTGAGTCGGACATGGAGCGTGCGAGGCTTGCTCCCATGTAGCAGAGGGGCACACACACCGGAAAGCTACGAGCCAAGCTGCACAAGTATAGCGAGTACATCTGCATGTGTGCTGCGGCCCGGTATGACTCAGACTAAAGCTTAATTAAGGTTTTGGGGGGGCACGCCGTCCTGGAGCAGAGCAAAGTTGGGAGCTTGACTGCTGCGCTGGTATCCATCACCCCCCTCGGCCACTGAACACACAGGCCCATGCCCACTGCATTCTTCCCACCATGCCGTATGGGGGGTTTCCGAAATTAGGGGGTACCTTCTTGGGGTCCGCATGATAAGGGGTCCATATTAGGGTCCCGTATTTTCGTAAACCCCATATCACCGAAGTATGCAAACTCAGCAGGCCACCCCAGGGCGACCGTGCTTCGGCACCTTTCACAAACATGAATTTGCCGAGAGCACGCAATCCTCACCACCAAAATTGCAAATCCCATACCAAGTATCTGCAGAAGCAACCTGAATCAAAACACGCACACACACACACACACACACACACAGACACATATCATAGACGACAAAACATCGCAGCAGCAATCGTGGTAAGCATCATAGCAACCTACTAAACCCTAAACCGTAAACCCTAAACCCTAAACCCTAAACCGTCATCATAAGCAGAGCTCCACCGGAGAAACCTGCTAAGGCCTTGGAGGCCAGCGCGTTCACGTTGCTCAGCGGCCGCCGAAGCGGCTGGTTGGAGGCCTCTGACGGCCTCCGCCAGTGCGTCTCAGTGCGAGAGCCATGCCAAGGACCACTCTGCGGGATCTCTAACTTCCTTCCTATAGTACAGCACCCTTACTTTAAAAAAAAAAAAGAGGACCCCAATAAGGGACCCTCTTTTAGAGAACTACCCACAGTGCGTGTGTTACTACTCGTGCTCTCATGAACTTAGCACTACTATCATGCGCTTGTATGATTATGAATTAGCATTACTTCCTTCTCTGGCGACTCTTAGAATGAGGAAGATGTTTGCTGGCAAAACAAGGACGCGCCTCGCCCAGTCCGGCAGGTTGTCGGTGAAGCGGCGCGCTGCCGCATCGTAACTCGTACCTGGCTTTTCTCGTGGCCACCCGGACGACCCCCCCCCCAGATATTTCCCCACAACACCTGGGGATTTCCCAAAGCAGGGAGTACCCCAAAAACATCCCCTCACCACGATAATCCCCATTGTAGAAGCCCCCAAAACGGGTACCCCTATTGTCGGAAACCCGCACGTCGGTCTCTCAAACTTGTTCTTCCGCGGGGCCTTGGAAGGTGCGTTCGAAGTAGTTTTTAATCCATTGAAGCATCTCCTCGGCTGGCGCGCACGTGTTGCACAAAGTGTTCACACGCACAAATGTGACGGGTAGCCATGGCAGCTGAGGCACCAAGTTGTCCTGATACTTGCCACGTACCAACTTGTCGACCTCCCACACCACGGTTTAGGGTTTAGGGTTTAGGGTTTAGGGTTTAGGGTTTAGGGTTTAGGGTTTAGGGTTTCGGGTTTGGGGTTTGGGGCTCAGGGTTCAGGGTTCAGGGTTAAGGGTTTAGGGTTTAGGGTTTAGGGTTCAGGGTTCAGGGTTTAGGGTTTAGGGATCACGTGGCAGCAGGAACCCTTGCAGAAGCGGCCTCTATGTGTCGCTGGATGCCGACCTTGCTGAAAGCTTGCTGCAAGACCTGCAGCCGGAGTCGTTTCGCGAGCCATTCGGGCAACTGTGGGAAACCGTTTCTGCATCCTTTGGCCTTGTAGTTTGGGATGCACTGATGCTCATCCCTGGCCTCGGAAGCAGAAGGGTCACAACCCTAACTCCAGCCAGCGCAGCCAAGGCGACAGCCATCCAATTCACCCTCTTCATGGACACGGCCTGAATCCGTAAAACACCAGAAACTCTCCAGGCCAGCAATATGGGATCCATATATATATATATACATATATCTATCTATCATCTATCTATCTATATATATATATATATATATATATATATATCTATATATCTACATATCTACATATCTATATATCTATATATCTATATATCTATATACCTATATATCTATATGTCTATATATATATCTGTCGAATTGAGCTCCGGGCTCCAGGGTGGCACGCGTCGATGATCTCAGTACAAGGATACGTCGGCGCGGCAGTGATTTCGCGGTTGATTTCGGGCGACTTCGATGCACAGCCTGGCAGTACACCGCACCGTTTGCGCACTGCTCCACCTGCAGTAGGCCGTCATCGGTTTCAGAGAGCTTCCTGGTTTCTCTTGGGTTTTAGGGCAGTGCATAGAGTATACCCGCTGCTTAGGGCAGCTGACTTGTGAAGTGCCGACACAAAGAACCCATCGGTGTCTGGCCTTGTCGAGGCCCAACCTCATGGTGAAACGATGCGGAAAGTTTGAGAGGGAGTGGTGGCACGTGTTGCGAGCCGCAGACTGAAATGTGCTGTTGAGCCATGAAAGCAACTCCGTCCTGGATCATGGGAGCTAAACCTCGGCAAAAAGCTGAGGCCAAGAAGGGTCCTGGATACGAAGAATGCTCCATCCATTCGCCCGACAGAAGACATGGCAGAGCTTGGTGCCTAGAATAGGTCTGAGGATGTAAGCTGGGTGACGACAAAGAACAGAGTGTGCTGCTCCCTTCCACACAACTAGTAGAACCGAAGACCTGCTTTTCTGTTAAAGGGCGCAGAGTGCCAGTGGCTACTGGTACCAAGTGTCACCGTGTCACCATGTTCTGCACAATGCGTCCGGCGATCCACATGCTTCATGGCCGCGCAGTGGTGCAGGCAACATGAAAGCATGAGGGCAGATCTCTGCAGACTACAGCTGGCACTTGACTCCAACCCTAAACCCTAAACCCCCAGGCTCGGCACAGCAATTTCGATGTCTGTCCATCAGTTTCTGGCTCGCTGAACACTGAGCCAGTGGTTGGCTCGTTCAGGACTTCTGCGATGCTTTCCAGGACTCATGTAGCTTTTTCTGCTTCTCAAGGTCCTGCCAGGGACTCCAATACCCCTTGAGTAAGGCATACTCCTTAAACCATATAAGGAACCCTATGATGACTTGAGGAGTATTCCTTAATTAAGGTGTATTGGAGCCAGAACTTGCCCGAAACACAACCACGTAGGGTCACTCTTTGCGAGCTTGAAAACACCAACCTTTAGACCTTCTGGGCCCTCCACCTAGGGCAAAACAACGCCATGAAAGACCTGGGCGGTAGAAGGCTTCTTGCAGGATGCTGCTAGGCCCAGGAACAGGCTGAGTAGAGGAAGCGGGCCCGGTCAGTTGACTTCCCAAAGCTGCGGGCTGTAAGGTTTAAAGGTTCCAACTGCTTAAGGGTTGAAGGGTTTGGAGTTGATAGGGTTTAGGTTTTAGATGTGCAACATGTCATATCTTTGGTCCCCATTTTGAGATTTGGGGTTTAGGTATTAAGGTTTAGGGTCTAAGACTTCTCCTTGGCCAGCTTCTTGACGGCGCTCTTCGGAAGAGCGTTGCCATCCTTGTCGTGTGTGGGCAGGCCTGTCTCGTCGTACGCCGAAAACTCTGCACCTTGAAGGTGGGTTCAGGGTTTAGGATTTAGGGTTTAGGGCTTAAGGCTTAGGGCTTAGGGCTTAGGGTTTAGGAGTTAGGGTTTAGGGTTTAGGGTTCAGGGTCTAGGGTGCCATCCGCAAATCTCCGCATGCGCGCATCACATGTCTGGAAATCACGTGCGAGCCGGGTTGCCTCGCTCTTGCTTAAAAAACTCCTCGGGCGGAAGCTTTTGCAAGCGCTCCTTTTCAGCCGCAGCGGCAGCCTGAGCATCCTTTCTGCTGGCAGTACCTGGGAACGGATTGTAACCAGTACTACTAACACATGCTTCCAACCTGATGGTTTAGGGTTTAGGGTTCAGGGTTTAGGGTTTAGGGCTTACGGTTGAATAACTAGGAGTACCAACAGCATCTTGCTGCAACCTGCCGAGCTCACGGTAACGCAAGTTGAAGAACCGTCCTTCTATCGGTGTTCCCACAGACCTCTCCAGATGGAGGTCGATCCAATGTCCGACAGACCCGCATCCGCAGCCACTGCCCCAAAGGGGAGAGGCGGAGTGAACCCCCAACCATAGGCCACCCGCCCCGCCCCTGAAGATCGATTCTGTTGGGAAAGGAGAGGTCCGATATCAGAATGACAGGACACCGAAGCATCTTTTTTTCACCAGCAAATGCGGATATACCGAAGCCCCCCTGCTGCCGTGCCCGGTCTCGAGCTCCCCCTGCATCTCCCTGCCCTCCTGGGCCGCCCTACTCTCCTGGTTCGATTTGCACACGGCACGAAATCTCTATGCATAAGGACGACCACACATGGGCATCTCAACCCGAACCTCGGCACGCACAAAGGAGAGCGAACGTACCACAGCCCCCAGCTCAAGAGGGTCGATTGCAACCGTGTCGCCCCGCCCCTCCAGCTTCTTCTTGTCGGCGGACTCTTTTAAGGGCACCACCCGGTTGAAGGTCAGCTTGGGCGGCGTGCCGAAACAATCGTAGTCAGGGGCCTCAAAGGCATGAGCCGGGAGTCCAAAGAGCACGACTATAGCAACACACAAACTGTCTTCATCAGCCGCTGACATTCGAGATTTGAGGGGATTTCTGCTAAATGTGACTCTATATGCTGCCAGGCAGCAAAGTAGCCACATCGCTCAAACTGGAAGCGATCTTCTAAAACGCATTGGCCCAGGGATTTCTCCACTTTGGCAGAACATTGGACCCAAGCTTCGGGGTTCATGTACTCCACCCAGTCTTTGCCCTCAGGCAAAGGGTCCGGGATGGGCAAGAACAAGGGGTTGATCAGACGCACCTGTGCCAGGGCATGTGACTTCCACCAGTTTAGGCGAAGTACCCTTCTTCAGGTCCTCTCTACATCTAAGGGAACAGACGACAGGGACCTCACAAAAGGGACTTCGTGGAACTGACAAGGCAGCTTGAAAGAGTAACGAGCGCAGGGCATTGGAGCCTGCCTCGGCATCCAAGCAATCCTCAGTGGGTTTAGGGCTTAGGGTTTAGGGTTTAGGGTTTAGGGTTTAGGGTTTAGGGTTTAGGGTTTAGGGCATTGGGGGCTAGGGTTTCGGGTAGCAGTGCCCTGCTTGCGCGCAGCAGGTGCGGCCAGAGGCTCCCCAGCATTGACCCAATGGATGACCTTCGGCTTTCGCTCCGGCATGATGTCACGCGTGGAAGGATCGTGACCTCTTCACGCGCACAGCGAAAAAAAATAGCCAGCTCAGAAAGCATGCTGCCACTCGCCAGTGCGGGAGGCAGGCTGCACTTGAGCTTGACCACCTTTCCCGCAGCATCCTTTTCGACCTCCTCTAGCTTGATCACCTCGGATAGCTCGAGACTTCGGCGCCGGAATCCTGCTACTATGTCAGCACACTGAGAAGAGCTGTGGTAGAGGCGGGGTGCATAGGAGTATCTCAGCTTCACTTCGCTGCCGATCTTGCCCAGTCGGAAATATCCTTCAGGCGGATTCTCCTCGATTCAGGGTTTAGGGTTTAGGGTTTAAGGTTTAAAGTTTAGGGTTTAGGGTTTGGGGTTTAGGGTTTAGGGTTTAGGGTTTAGGGTTTACGACTCCACCGTCTGAAGAGAGCGTGCCCGAAGCTGTACCGGTCCTGGTAGTCGGAGCGGTCGATGAAGACGTGCTTGGAGAAGCCTAACAAGGCCACAGCGAGCGCGCCAGGGCGGGCGCGACTCCGTCTCGCACTCACTTCTGGAGCCGATCCAGGTAGGAAAGGGACCACTCGGGATTTCCAAAAATCGGGGGGGCTTCCAAAAAACTATCACCAAGCCTCTCTAATCCTTCTTAAAGGAACCCTCCCCAAAAAAATTATATATACATATAATATATATATATATATATATATATATATATGCACCACTATTTTCGGATTCCCCCCCAGATACACCAGGTGGCTCAGCGCGCGGGTGCAACTGGCGTCTGCCGCCGACTGGTCGGGCAAGTCGGTGACGCCCTCAATCAGCTCCTGCTTGTCGTAGTCCATGATCTCCTTGGACTCATACCCCGAAACCCTGAACCCTAAACCCTAAACCCCAGCATCTTTGAGCTTCGCTCTGCGGACCCCCCTCCCTTTCTCTTTCTTGCAAGGCACCACTGCCAGCGGGTCCAGCACCGCCAGTCTTCGCTTGCTGATGGGCTCCATATCTTCTCGCCAGCACTCCTGTTCTTGCGGAAGCCACCCTAAACCGAAGCCCTAAACCCTAAACCCTAAACCCTAAGCCACCCCTAATTCTGAGTAGGGAACTAGGTACCCTGCATATAATCCCTTAAGGGGTATAGAGAGGGGGAGATATCCCTACTAAGGACCAGCAAGAGCTTCGGCAGACCGGGCATTTTCCCTTGAGAACCGGATTTCCTATTTTCCTGTTGTGGGTTATCCAAGAATCTTAAATGGGGTATTATCGTTCTCCTTATCATTATCGTGATAACCCACAAACATGCAGGTTTTTGGGCTGCTTAGGGATGGCACCTAAACCCTAAACCCTAAACCCTAAACCCAAAAAGGCGACTTGCATCCAGCAGGGGCCTCGACTAGGTCCCAGGGTGTGACGCTGTTTCTGTCGCTGACACCTACCTTGGCAACGGGGGGCCAGGGCATGGAGATTAGGGTTTAGGGTTTAGGGTTTAGGGTTTAGGGTTTAGGGTTTAGGGTTTATATTGTGTGACTCGCTGGCTTTTGCTGCTTCTCTGTGCAGAGCTTGCAACTTCTGGGGGTTCACGCTTGGGAGTCCTTCTTGAGTGCTTGGCATCAGGTTTACAACTTCCAGTTGTCAAGGCTCTTCCTTCTGCATTCGAAGGAAAATACTATTTTGGGTAGTATTCATAGTACTAGTAGATCATGAATATGATGAATAGTATCAGTATCATGAATCTTCTGAAAGTGCCTCCATGATGCAGCATCGCACATGCGCTTCACTCCCTGAGGGCGAACCCCACGTCTGCGTATCCCGCGAACGGTCAGCAGCCTGGGATCATCCCATCCTGTCACGTACCCCTCCTTAGATGATGCAAGCCTCCTACCCAGGGACTCCTTACGGAACATTCCCTTAAATTATAATACTAGGGTTCCTTATATGGTTTAAGGAATATTCCTTAAAGGGTATAGGAGTCTCTGGGTATGGATCACACACTCGGGCGGACACACTGCCATCACGGGCACCACTGCGATCGAGCATCTCTGACGAGTCGTAAGAGCTTGCGCTTGGAGGTGAAGGCACCCTGCACTTCCAGTCTGGCAAACTCCTTCTGGTAAGGTCTGCTTGGGACGATGGATGTGTTATCCTCGGGCAGCAAAGTTTGCTCTGCATACCGCTCCGCATCATGTCAAGTGCCGTCCCCCCAGGGCAAGAACCCAGCTAGCCGCAAGAAGCTTCCTCGCCCGAGCGTCAAGAAACCAGTCGTACAGAGCGCGATGATTCTCAAATTCCAGGGTACAGATGGAGTGTGTGACGCCTTCTATCGCATCCTCATTCCCATGAGCGAAGTCGTAGATGGGATAGACCTTCACTGAGACTTTCAGAAACAAGAGGCACCATGAAGCATTCCAAGCATTCCGTTGCGATGGCCTTCCAGCGATCGCCGGTTCTATGGTGATGGCTGAATCGGATCCGGTACCTTATACGGATGGAATGCTCAGTGCCAAGAGCAAGCTAGCGCGACAACATTGAGGTCGGGCGGCATAGGCGGGTCCCGCATGTTCATGTTCGGGTGGTTCATGTCGATCTTGGCCCGGAGGAGGAGCGAGCCCTCCGCGTGCTTTCCTGCCTGCATCTCTTCGAAAAGCCGCAGATTCTCTGCGACACTGCGATCGCGAAAAGGTGAGTCAACCTCAGAGTATGCACACAATCGAAATTGCACAAGCTTAGCTCGGCGGACCAGTGACCAGTGTCGGTAGTCCCGATGAGTCGTTGCAAGTGGTCTCTGAGCAGCGGACGCCTGGAAGATTGTTCGGGCCCCCACCGCGATTCTTCTGCACCTGAACGACTCTCTCCAAAGACCGGGAACCTTAAAGTAGTTGCCACAAACGGTACTACATAATTTGCCCAGTAAGCCTACATGTAGGTTCCCTAGCAAGACCCTCACTTGGCCGCGAAGGCCTCTTCAGGGGTCTGCGAATCCACGTAGGCTTTGCCATGCTTGATCAAGTCGATGGCAAAGTCATACATCTTCTGGAAATAATCACCTCGGCCAATAAGGGGCCGATGTGGGGGGGTGGGGGGCGGGGGGGAGGAAGAAGCCAGATCTCCTTCGACAAGTCTAAGCCTTGCACTGGCATACACGGGCGTCCCGACCCAAGGCTTTCCGCCGTCCCTGCACTTGTCCATATCAAGGCCCTGGCAATTTAGGGCTGTGGTTCCATCGTCTAAGAACGCGGTACCAATGGCATCTGAACAAAAACAGAGCATGAACAAGCTGCCTGACACACCCAGCAAACATCTTCTTGAATCGACTCCACATACTCCGTCTCTTCCGTGTCAGGGTTTGTGTCGTCAAATCGCAGGTTGCAGCCCCCGCCGTATCTGATGTCATCAACGCACGAGAAACTTCCACAACAAGAAGCAAGCAGAAGCATTGGTCTCAGAGAAACAACGCGCTTCTTGCGCGAATCGTTTTACTACGCATCGTCAGCATCCAGGGACTAGAACATGAGGAACCAACAAGATCACACAAGGCATGCATTTTGCCTTTGAAAGGCCTGTGTGGCATTTGAAACTTTGACAGACGACTCCACTACCCGCCACCCAACTAGCCGGGCATTCCGCAGCCCATCCTGTCTCCCAACGTTCGGCCCCTCGTTCTCTGCTTCTGCAGAGGAGGAGAGGCCTCCCGGCCCAATCAGGCTGAAGCGACAAATTCACCGATTACGATTGCCAACTCAACCAGTTCAACATCGTCGAACCTGCGTCTGCGTACACGAAACTACATGAAACGTGGCGAAACCTGTTGCTTAGTTGCTTTCACCGACCTTTACGCTTTCCTGGCACGCGTGGGCTTCTTGCTTGAATTTTGAATGGGAGGCAACCTCTTACATGTTTCCTGTCACTGACCCCGTAGTCGTAGCAAATCGTGCGGATGCTCAGCTGCACATGCGGGCCAAGATGCTTCTGTGCCAGGCCAAAGTTGATGGTGATGGACTTCGCGTGGCCGATGTGCAAATAGCCGTTCGGTTCGGGAGGGAAGCGCGTCAGGACCTCAAAGGTGCATGCAATGGCTTCAACTCAAATAAGATTCCGTCGCGTCTCCTTTGTTCAAGTAGATCCTGAAATAACATGTCAGACTACCCTAAACCCTAAACCCTAAACCCTAAACCCTAAACCTTAAACCCTAAACCCTCTGCTTGTTCAAGCAGTGCCTTCTGGCCATGGCAGCGCCCCCCCGGTGCCAAATCGGTGTCGATCCTGGGTCTCAGCCCAAGTTCCAAGGGTTTAGGGTTTAGGGTTTAGAGTTTAGGGTTTAGGGTTTAGGGTTTAGGGCTTCAGGGCTTCAGGGTTTCAGGGTTTTAGGGGTGTAGGGGCTAGGCTTGGAGGGTTTGAGGGTTTAGGGTTTAGGGTTTTAGGGCTTCAGGGCTTCAGGGTTTCAGCGGTTTAGGGGCTAGGTGTTTTCGGGTTTGAGGGTTTTAGGGGTTTAGGGGCTCGGGTTTTAGGGTTTGAGGGTTTTAGGGATTTTGGGGAATTTCGGGGTTTTTGGCGAAGTTGCTTTAAAACCCCCAAGGGCTTTAGGGGTTTTAGGGGTTTTAGGTTTAGGGTTTTCGGGCTTTAGGGGTTTTAGGGTTTTAGGGTTTTAGGGGTTTTAGGTGTTTTAGGGTTTTAGGGTTTTAGGGGTTTAGGGGTTTTCATGGGTTTTAGTGTTTTAGGGGTTTAGGGTTTGAGGGGCTAAGGTTTAGGGTTTTAGGGTTTTAGGGGCTAAGGTATTAGGGTTTGAGGGTTTTAGGGTTTTAGGGTTTTGTCGGAAAGGTGTTTAAGTTCAAAAAGGAAGTAATAAGACCCCAGGAGCCACTTCTCCAGGAAGCTTCTGCCATCTGAAGCCTCCTGCATTCTGCAAGGCTTGGCAGTGGTCCAGGGCTTGGGTCTAGGGAAAGCTTACAACAAGAACTCGGAAACTACCAGGGTGTGCCTCCTTTTTGAGGCTCCTCGTCCCCATCGCCTCAACCCGAAACCTAGACCCCTAAACCTTATAAACCCTAAGCACTAAACCTTGTAAGCCCTAGACCCTAATCCCCAAGCCCCAGACTCTAATCCCTACATTGTCCCCCCTAAACACTAGATCCCCAAAGCATAAACCCCCAATAGAGCAGAATCCCTCTCTTTAAGGACACCGCCCAAAAAGGGACCCCTCGTTGTGGAAAACCCTCATATGGGGTTACCATAAGCTTTATGTCTAAGGTTTTCGGCTCCGGGGCTTTGGGGGGTTTCGGCTTCAAAGGGTGTCATTATTGATCCTACAAAACTGATGTTACAATGCTAGACCATCATCTCTAGGGCGACTTTTTCAGAACCTGGGTAGAGCACCGGTTACTGGTGTTCTCAGTTTCTGAGCGACCGCCCGATGAATTGTTTGGAACGGTTTCCTGCACGACTTGGACCCAGGGCACTTGCCTGGATCGAGCTAGATGGCAAATTCGGGAAACTCATAGGATCTCAAACACTCGACTCTAAACATTCACCGCTTGTGGGCAATAGGAAAATCTGACGGCGGCGAGAGCACCACCTCAGAATTGGGTAACTTCTCAGGCCCGGCTTTCACGCGACGTCTGCTGCCTGGCTGTCAGCGACCACAGGCTTGCGGATGCCGAAGCAGCGCTCCACGTCGAAGATCTTGGACTTTGGCATGTCGGAGCTTTCGCTGGCGTAGAACTCGGCGTACTGCTGCATGAAGTCGTTGATGTTCTCGCGCCCTGTCTTCTGAAGACGGCTGGGAGGCGAGCCAGTGATCCAGAGGTAGACGGCTTCCGGCCAGGAGAGGCTCAAAGCGCGCCTGGCTACCCAGGGGTTAAGGGGGCCAAGGCCCGAGACGAATGCGAAGACGGACATCGCCAGCATCGCTGCCACAAACTGCCCTCCAATGTAGAGGCCTGCCACATCGTCGCCACAGTGGAAGATGACCATCGGGCCCAGAACCCGGGCGGGGTTCAAGGCGGCGCCCGTGTACTGACCGCCAGACCCCGCGCATGCGAGCAGCGCCAGGCCCACGGCGAAAGGCGTGTGGCTGCCATGGCCTGGCTTTGCCACACCGCAGGCATAGACGCAAGAGATCAGGGTGAAGGTCATAACGCACTCCCAGCCGAAGACTTGCTCGTCGGTGAGGTCCTTGTGGATCGTGGTACGGTCGAAGCATCCGGGGCCCGTGGCTCCAGTGTGGATGAGGTCACCAGCGCCAGGCACCAGCCCAGCCGAGACCCAGGCCCCGACGATGGCGCCAATGATCTGGAGAGCAATGTAGACCAGCGTGTGGATGAGGGGATAGAAGCCGCAGACGGCGGTGCTGAAGCTCACTGCAGGGTTCAGGTGACCGCCGCTGATGTTGGCAGCAACATAGATCCACACGGCCAGCGCGAAGCCGTTCACGAAGGGTGCAAACTTCGGAGCTGACGTGCCACCAAGGATCTGGAAGAACATCACGCCCACAAACTCCACTGCCAAGGAGACGGCAAACTGGCGGGAGAACACCGACTTATAGTTGGCGAAGACGCTGTCCTTGTCCACGGTGTCGCTGCCGGATCCCATGACGACAGGCAGAAGAGTCTGTGATGGGCCTAAATTAAGGCGCGATGACTGCGCGATGCGAGGCGTGTGTTACCCTGGAGCCGAGACCAATCGTCATCACCCGACTCGTTGACACACGGCCGAAACTGCTTGGGCCCCTAAACCCTAAACTTTCCCTAAACCCTAATCCCTAAAGCCTAAACCCTAAACCCCATCAACAATCACCGGCCCCAAACAATGACTACGGACTCATTGGGCCGGCCTCCTCCGTGTTGGCTGCTGCAGCTGCCTCTCAGCAGTTCGCAAGCCCAGGGAGACGGGGGGTTCCGAAAATAGGCTTTAGGCTTTAGGCTTTAGGCTTTAGGCTTTAGGCTTTAGGGTTTAGGGTTTAGGATTTAGGGTTTAGGGTTTAGGGTTTAGGGTTTAGGGTTTAGGGGTACCGCTTTTTGGGGCTTCCTATAAGAAGGATTGTAGGTACTTGGTAGTATATTCGGGGTACCCCTATTTTGGGGAAACCCCCAATGTTCTACAGCAAGGTTCTCGTCTGCTGGGGTAGAAAATAGCCCACCCCCATCCCCCCCCCCCCCACACCAAGAGTATTGCCAAATGCTCAGCGCTTGCGCACCACAAGCCCGCACGCAGGGGCCCCAAAACCTTAAACCCCAAGCCCTAGATGATAACCCTAAACCCTAAACCCTGAGCCCTAAACCCTAAACCCTAAACCCTAAACCCTAAACCCTAAACCCTGAGGCCCTCCCTTGGGGGCCTGCGAGGTGGGCTTGGCCTTCGCATCTTGCGGCTTTGCCTCCTTGGCCTCCTTGGCCGGTTTTGCCTCCTTGACCTCCTGCTTCGGCTTGGGTGCCTTGGGAGCCTGGCAGGGCAAGCATGTGGGCAAACTTGTAGGGTTTAGGGTTTAGGGTTTAGGGTTTAGGGTTTCGGGTTTAGGGTTTAGGGTTTAGGCTCTGTTTCGGCAAACTGTGTTCGGCTCATCTCCAGCGCCTGCGCGGAGCTCTCCAAGCTCACGCTCTCTTCGGGAAGATGGAGCAGTGCCGGTGAGCCTTCGGGATGTGACGACACTAAACCCTAACCCTAAACCCGAAAAAACTTAACCCCCAAACCCTAGCTAAAACCCTAAGCCCTTAAAAGACAAATACAATAACCCTAAGCCATTAACCATAAAACCTAGACCCTGAACCCTCAACCCCAAACCCAACCCTGCCTCCGAAGGGGAGCCCGACGTCAGCCAAGTATCCGGCTTTCATGGCTCCAGGCCCCGGCTGTTGCAGGCTGTTGCTATACTAGATGTTGTAGTATATAATCATACAGTATAGTCATGTATACTACTGAAAACTACACTATATGCATCAGAATTCTGCAATAACGTATCTCTGCATGTCGGAGAGTGTCGGGCCTGCGCTGACAGCTGCAAGCTTCACTCGTGGCAATCGGGGCGGCTTGGTCCGCGGTCTTCACTACATCCAGTCGGAGGGCGAAGCGCAAAGGACAGCACGTCTCGAGACTGCCACCCAACATCGAATCTCAAATCTTACCCCAGCATCGTACAGACAAGAGGGACACGGCAAGACATGCTGTAGAGGAGCAACATGACGCAGGAGTGATCTCAAGCCAACCAGACAATTTGCGCGCTGCTCCTGAAATGGCAACTTTTATAACATGCATGTGCAACGGTGCGAGAAAAAGCTTTGCCTTTCCTCACATCTCTCCCCCAAACGAAGAGAAACAGGCGCTTGGCTACCGATGACTCATGGAACTGCTGGGGCCATTCCTTCAGATGTTGGTCCCCGGCAGCATTGAGTTCGCGCAGGAAAACGGTAGCAAAGACCAAAGCTGAGTCTAAACCACTCCATCGTTATAAGCGGCAGCACCTGCAAGAGGCTTTTGCACCATGTTCCAAAGCTGCCGCAACACCGAACTCGCTCGATGATTTGCGGCCAGCTTGGAGACAGGTTAAACATGAGCCTTTTGCATCTCCACAGGCTTTCCTCATTGGAGCGTGACCTCATGAGCATGAAACTGAGAGGCCCTGGTCGGACACTGACAAGCTCAACTTCGGTCCAATTTTTAACGAGATTCTTGGGGAGGGGTACCTATCTTGGGGGGCGGGAGGGCCCTTGAAACGAGGGTAATTTTAAAAAAGCAGGAGGGGAGGGGGTGCCTATTTTGGGTTGGGGGGGGGGGGGGGGGTGGGGGGGAAAGGGAGTGTTGATGTAATGGAGTAGAATGGTTCAGAACCATATTAGGGCAATGAAGGGGCTTATAAGCGGGTTATAAAGACAGTTACAATCGGTTCTTAAGTACCGCGAACCTCGTACCCCCTACCTTGGGAAAATTCCACCCCAAGTGCCCCCCCCCCCACCTCCTTGACGAGCCGGAGCACCTCCTTGACTTCCTCGAGAACAATCATCTAGGGTTTAGGGTTTAGGGTTTAAGGTTTAGGGTTTACGGTTACCTCCCTCCTTGGGCGTGCGGCTGAGACACTCTTCTCATCTTGAACAGGTCAATGCTACGGGCAGTGCCGTGGAACTGCCTGATGCCCATGGCAAACTCATCCTCGAGGGGGCACGAAGGGGGTACGATGCTGCGTATGGTTTAGGGTTTAGGGTTTGGGGTTGGGGGGTTGGGGTTGAGGGTTTAGGGGTTAGGGTTTAACTTATGTCTCTACCTGTAGCTTGCAGGACGTCCTGATCAATTCGGCCGTTGTCATCCATGTCGAAAAGGTCCCAGAGCTCGTCCGTGTTGGTCGTTTCCGTGTTGATGCCCAGGTGAGAGAAGCACGTCGCTATTCTGTCGCTGTTCGAGAGGTGGTACACAAACTGTTGCTTCGTCAGCTGCCCTTCATGTTCTTCACTGATTCGCGAGAACAGGTCCTGGTCCATGATTCAACTATTCCAGCCATGCCGTGCTGTGCAGACGAGCTAAGAGACCCCAAACCCTAAAACCTAACCCCCCAAACCCTAAACCCTAAGGTCAGCATCATGACCGGGCGGCAGCCACTTCGACGATCCATTTCTGTCGCTCCTGGAGACGGAAGTAGATGGGGCCAAGGACAGCTCCAAGAAACGGGCAGAAAGCACAAGAATGTCCGAGCGTGATGCGGCTGCGTGCACCGCTTGATCCGGTTTTGGGTTAAGGATGAAGGGTTTAGGGTTTAGGGTTTAGGGTTTGGGGTGTAGGGTTTAGGGTTTAGGGTGTAGGGTTTAAGGTTTAAGGGTTTAGGGTGGCCTGTTAGGAAACTGTGCCAGTGCTTGGCCTCCCGGGTGCCCCCTTGGTGACCTCATGCAGGTCGCCGACTAGTTGGCATGCCGCGCGGGTTTCATGAAACGCCAAGAACTTGGGCTTTCATGCTCACCGCTTCGGGTACTGGATGAGGGATCCGGGACTTTGCCACTGTACGTGCGATTGTCTTCTAGATGGCAGACTGAGCACTGTAGGCAGGGAATAACAAGTCGAACGAACTTCAAGTTCCAAGGCTCGAAGGATTCACTTGCAATGCCGTTTTCGTGATGTCAACAAGGGCTCAATCATCTTCAATGCCTTTTCTCCTGCTCCCAACGCATTCTTCCACCAAGAGTGCCAACAGGCCAAAAAGCCAAGGATCCACCCCCACAGAAGTCTTTCGAGGACCCGGTGAGCACACATGAATCTCAGCCACAACTCCAAGAGACCCAAGGGACTATGTGCCAAAAGATGATACGGGGAGGCCACAAGCATGCTTGCAAAGCTGAAACACCGAAACTCCAACCTGCAGCATGCCTCTAGACGCTTGCAGGTGGTTTAGGGTTTAGGGTTTAGGGTTTAGGGGTTAGGGGTTTAGGGTTTAGGGTTTGAAGTTTAGGGCTTAGGGTTTCTGAGCACCAGAAGTCTCCTTCATCGCCTCATGATGCATGGCCTCTTCATCTGCGATCTTCAAGGCTTTTGCATTGTCCACCTCAGCAACGCGCAACAGCCAAAGCTACTCACCCGGACATGGCAGAAAGCTCAGGCCCGTTCGAAGATGCCTGTGACTATGTTCATGCAGCAGAACACCTGGCGCGAGCAGTCACAGCTAGCTCTGAAGCTGCCTCGGCTTGACAAACTCAACACGTGATCCAGCCACCGTGAAGAACACGTACGCTGAGAAGATGTATTCCATCCACGAACCCACAGGACGAAGCGTGGTAACGGCATTGTTCCAATCTATGCCACCAGAGACTGATTCATACCTGGGTCAGCAAGGAGACAGCAAGTCTCATCAATGCCTCCATACATATATCTCTATGTGTATGTATATATGTAGATAGCAAATATGTATATACATATATATATATATGTAAATACACATAATCTGTACATATACATGAATTGTACAGATATACACCCAAACCATTTACAGTGGGCAGAGCGACAGTGTCAGCATCGTGCGAGGAAGTGAGCCGAAGTATCCCAGCAATTCAGCATTCGAATCCACCGTCTCCAAGTACTCAACCGACAGCTGCATGACAAGAACGCCAAATAGAAAGTTTACCAGGAGGAGCAAAAGCAGAGCCCACACAAGGGACTTTGCCGAGCCGATGACTCCGTTCACCATCACGCGGAGCTCCGAGAAGAAGCGCACCACCTTCACGATTCGCAGTATCCGCGCCAGCCGCACCATCCGAAGAATCTTCAGACCTGGCAGGACACGACAACTACACATGCTCATGGAACGTCATGTCATAGATTGAGGCTATGTTGCTGTTCCTCGCTTAGTTTCTCTCGGTGTCCGATTTCTTAACCGCTGCAAGATGCCTTGCGAAAATGGAGGTCCAGCACATTGGGTGCAGGAAAGAAACCGTGGATAAGCTGAAACTCTAAATGGGGATGTTGGTGATAGCAGTAGCTCTAAACACCCCAAACCCTACAGACCCTTTCTGGAACCCTGACAACACAGGGATATGCTATCATGGAGACCCCAAGAGGCGCCACGAGGGAGGTTCTCTAAATTACGGTCCCGTAGCCATTTTGGCTCAAGGTAGGCGCTATCACAGATCTGGGTGGTCTAACTAAGTTGGCCTTGGCTTGGTTCGCTTTCTTAGTTGTCCTTTATTCGCTTGCCCTAGGTCACCCAACTAGTGCACGGCAATATGTTCTTGCGGTGGTTTCTTGGTTGCGCTTTCTTCCTCTCCTCTTTCGCATGCCTCGCCATGGGCCCCCGTGCTAGATGGGAAACCTCTCCAGATGTTCCAGGCTTGAGGTTGGCCTATTCGGCAGAGATCTGTCGCCCGCTCTCGCTTGAGCATTTCCCTGAAGATGTCTTTCCAGCGCTGCAGATGCACCCATCAGCTTCGGGAATCACGTTTGCAACTTTTGCAAGCTTTGAAAGGATTGCGAACATCAGAACAAATGGGGCCTGCTTGGTTATCCTTTCCGGATATGTCAAGCCGAAGGTGGAACGGTTGGGCTTTGAGAGTGAGAGAATCATCTCCACAACCATTACGGTAAAAGATATCATCCAGAATTGTGAAGAGATGCGTGCAGTGACATTGGTGAATATGTCGATGGATTCTGACGAGTTCTTTTCCATCCCCGATGCTGCGCCTGATGTAGAGGTAGCTCATGTTGAGAGAGTGGCCATTTTTGCAGAAATTCGCCAACTCGACTCTACAGCAGACGATTGGGCCAACTTCGGGAATCTGGAAGCGTTCCATAACTATGTGTGTCAGGTCATTGAGCACCACTCTGTGCTTGCCAATGCTGTGCTTTACAAGATCTTTGAGCGTGAAGGCTACTTGTGCCGGCGACTTCAAGTGCCTGTTGCTGACCGGGATGCCATTTACGCACAGTCCGGGTTTAAGTCTGTACAGTTTCGAGCAGTTCGCAAACCTGACGACGTTCCAGAGGCCGGCCTTGAAGTACTGAAGGTACCGTCGCGCGAAACTCTCGCAGAAGCAGCTGCGCGACTTCATGCGGTCCGTGGAGGCTTGGGTTGCTTCAAATCCCAGAATGCTTTGTATTTCCGTGTGCGTGACAATTTCATCAAGACGGCCCGTGAAACAATCTACATTGACGATGAGCGCTTTTCCGACTTTAACATCGCGGCAAAGTCCCAGCTTCAGTACAAAATCTTCGGATTTCCTGCAGGCACCTCCATGAAAGAGCTCGTTAAGACGCTTGAGGCTCTCAACTTTGTCGCCATTCCTTCCAGGATTGTAAATTTGAAAGACTTGGCCATCGTCTTCGTGTCTGCGCCGCAGCCCCCAGATGCCTTCCGGTACCAGACATCAGTTGGTATGATCCAAATCGTTGAGCTTGAGAAGCGTGTCTTCAATCGCAAAGAGAACAGTATGGTTGCTCCAGCCCCTTCAGGGCAAGGCCGACAGAGTAATGCCAAAGGAAAAGGCAAAGGCGTGGCAACACCTCCGCCTCCTGCTTCCTCCTCTTTGAATTTGCCGAGGCCTGTGGCCCCTCTCTTGCCCAATCCATATGCTGGTAGAGTGGAGGCTCTCGAAGCTCAAATGGAAGCGATGAAGGGTGACGTTGACACCTTGAAGAAGGATAACCTTGACACGAAGCAAAAGCTCTCGGAGATCTCCGACAATCAGAATCGTGGATTCCGGGATCTGTTGGAGGCCATTTCAGAGATCCGCGCGAGCATGCCGTCGAGTCCAAGTACATTCGCGCACTCCCCGCCTTCGAAGGTGTCCCCGGCAACCAAGCATCAGAAGGTCTGACCATTGACTTGCAATGCTTAATAGTCCTGACAACTCTGTGCGTCGCCGTGTCCTTGTGCATACCCTACATTAGCTTGTGTTGCTCCCTAACTTCCCTTATCTCCCTTTTCTCTGCCCCTAATGTGCTTCGGGTGTACTATGCGCCGCGCACCTATGCGAGAGATGGTAAGGTTCTGGTTGGGTGCTTCTTCTCACTTAAGTTTTCACGGACCTCTAAGCGGCGACGCGCTCAATCGCTTGCGAAAGCCAAGCGACAGCTTCGTGCAGCCACATTTGCTTGCCTAATTAGCTTTTATTGGGAAGGATGGCTTCCCAACATCTGCCATGCGCTTGGGAGTCATGGCCATCCTCGGCTCAACAACTACCGTAGCCTTGAGGTTCACCACGATGTTGGAATGCTTTTGCATCTTTCCGTGCAATTTCATGTCGGGTGTCGTTTACACGCACCCCCGACCCTTGCATATACGGGATACCCATCATACCTCATGCCGCCTGAAAACTCGACCTACCATATTAAATTGCCCATATGGGCGCTCCTTCTCTTTTCACCTTGCTTGGGATATCCTGGCGAAGGACCTAAGCTAGGGTTTGTCACTATCAACACTACCTCTTGCAGTAAACATCGGTATGACCTTATTGCTCTGCCAAGTTGCGATAGCAATCCTGTGCAAATCGTCTTCATGCAAGAAACTCGATTGTCCGCCAAAGGCTGTGCTGAGCTCACTCCGTTTCTGAAGCGGGAAGGGTGGGAGATCCGTGTTGGGTATCAACCCCCGGTTAAGCGTTTAAGGTCCCAATTTACTTCCTGTCGCCAACCCCATGGCGGTCTTGCTACCCTATATCGTAAGGATGTTACTGTTATAGAGGTTGCTCTTTCCGCTGATTGGGCATCGCTTGTCCCGCATTGTCAAATGCTCTGGTGCTCCTGTCAAGGTGGCGGGTTTTACGTCATTAACTGTTACCTGCCAGCTGGGGCGGATAAGCGCAGTGAAAGATGCCTACTTCTAGATAGGATTTTTGAGCTTGCGGGTTCTTACAGTAACTTCCCTTGTTTTGTGCTTGGCGATTTCCAAGATGAGCCCGGCGCATATCCTTCAATCCAGCGTGCTTTCTTGACAGGGGAGTGGGTTGACTTGTATGCAAATCAGCAGAATGCATTGCAGCGTTCTCTCGAGGCCTCTTTTGCCAAGAATGGGTGGAAAACAGGGTATGAGGTAGGTCCGGGTAAGACTCGAATTGACTATGTGTTGTGTAACCGAAAAGCCACCTTCTTGTTTTAATCTATTCGGTATCTAAGAGGCCAGTCCTTCCCTGGGCATACACCCGTCCACTGTTCACTTAACTGCGATGTCTTTAATGAACTTGTGTGGCATCTCAAACCTCACCCGAAGTGGCACTTGCCCGACAAACCCACTTCCAGGGAACAGTGGAGTCAGCGTGAAGCAATATGCCAACCTATACTGCGGCAGCACATCGAGCGTCTACTGCAAGCTGCCACTGCTCGTGACGCGGAAGTGACATGGAGCATTGCTTGCCGAATTGCGACGGACATGCTGAATGCTATTTCACAACAAAGCATACCCCCAACCCGTGGTAAAGTGCCTGAATTCCGTAAAATGCCATTGGTTCCTGACACCACTTCCCCCTGTCGATTCTCCAAAGCTCATAAAATAGTTCGGTGCAAGTCATTGTTGAAAGAACTGCTATTCCGTGCCAACCATTGGCCAGAGCAGCCCAAGTACTGCTGGCTTGTAGACCTTCACAATACTGTTCGGAATCTACGTACTTGTTGTTCGCACATAGGCCTGCCTTGTACTGCCCAAACCGACTGTTGTGTGTCATTAGACGCTTCCGTCCGTGACATGATGGTAGCTGTCCAGCAGTTTGAAGACAGTCTTCTCCGTAACGCTAGAAATGCACATTTGTCCCAATGGAAAGCTAAGTTGCGGATCTCTTCTAGGACTGACAAGAAAGAAGTTCACAGGTGGCTAAAAGGCTATGGCACTGGTCCTCCGAAAACGTTTGTAAGTCCAGAAGGCGGTCTTGTTGCGTCCCCAAGTGTCATGTTGCAAATGATCGAAGACCATATGCAAACAATTTACAACCACCATGCAGACGTTGACCCGCGTGATGCCTTTGAGGCCTTCCAACTGAAGTATGGTAGTGCCATGGGCTCGCTATACCGTAGCGCTGACTTGCCAAAGCTTACCCACCAAGACCTGTTTCAGCTTTTCCAGAAGCGTTCTCCTGACAAAGCATCTGGTTTAGATGGTTGGGCTACTCGGGAGCTTCTCCAGTTACCACCTTGTGGTTGGGTTGGGTTCTGCTTTTGCATGCAGATTGCAGAAGCAACAGGTGATTGGCCACAGGTTCTTAAGATGATTGCAGTATCTAGTATCGCTAAGAAACCCCTCGTCGCATCTCCCGAAGATACTAGAGCCATAGGCGTCTCTTCAGCAGTGTGTTCTGTTTGGTCATCCTTGCGCTTTAAACAGCTTGCAACATGGATGAACCAGATTTGCCCTGGTAACCTCTTAGGAGGCCTTGCCCACCGAACTGCTGATACCAGCGAGGTTGATTTGTCCCTTGCTCTTCACGACCCTGACTCCCATTTTGACCTTATTGCAGTCTTCATTGATAGGTGGAAGTGCTTCGATCTTATCTTACCCTACGTGGCTTTAAATGTTGCTGCCCAGTTGGGACTCCCCGATCAGATCTTCAGGGCTGTTCTTGGATTTTATGGTGGGCAATGCAAGTTTTTCAAGCTTGGTAATGTTTATGGGAAGCGGGTTATGTGCACTAATTCGGCTGTTCAGGGGTGCTCCATGTCCATTTTAATGATTAACTGTATGTACGCTGTCTTGTCACGTCAACTCAATACTGTTTGTCCCTCCATTAAGTTTAGCACCTTTCTAGATGATTCCAAAATTTGGACCCGAACTAGTGATACCAATGCACTTGTAGATGCCTTTAAAGCCATCCACGAGTTTGATACCGGGGTCGGACAAGTTTTAAACGATGAAAAAACCATCGTCGCGACCCGTAGGAAACGAAATGCTAAGCGATTTCTGTTGAAAGTCGGCAGAGCCTGCAAAGCAAAGAAACAAGCCAAGTCATTGGGTTACTCCCACCAGTTTGATAAGAGGCATTCTCCTAAGCTACAGGATGAGCGAGTCGATAAGGCCAAGGTTGCCATGCTGAAGATCTCCCAACTTCCCTTGTCTCCCGAAATGAAGGCCATTCATGTTCATGCTAACGGCCACTCTAAATGGGTATATGGGACTGAGATCCAAGGCCCTTCTAGGAATGCCTTGGCCAAGCTGAGAACTGCAACAGCAAAAGTTTTTGTCAAAAAGGCTAACAATATGAGATGTCCTTTCCTTTTGTTTGCCACGCTACAGGACCCTTGGCTGGACCCTTTTGCAAAGTGGGTGCAGCACGTTTCCTTGAAGTTACGCCGTCTCGCCTACCTCAAGCCAGAGTTGCTTCGCAAAATCTTATCCCAAGTTCGTGAGGATGCTAGAAATAGGCCTGCGCCTAAGCACAACGTAGCTAACGGTGTAGTCAATGTTGTGGCTTACTTGTTTTTCGCGCTTGGTTGGAAAGTAGGTGACCCCAATGCCTTCAACTTGGTTTTGTCTGATGGCCGCATCATCTCCCTCAAAGCAGGTTCCAAAGACGCTTTTTTGGAAGAGTTGGCGCGGGACGTCAGGAAGTATTTACTCAACCAATCACCTTTCAGGTATGACAACCCGACTCCAGGACAGTATGGCACGCCAGATGTGTACCTTACGCGGTTTCTTCTCGACACGACCTTTGCAAAGGATGACGATTTCCAGTTCCTTCGTGGGTATCTTGATAAGCTCCCTCCGAACATACACTACACACGTGGAATTTTGTCATCGCTTCTATCTGGGTCTGTCTACAACGGACATCGCTATAGAGCGGCAGGACTACGTGACAGCGCTGCGTGCCCACAGTGTGGGAAACAGGAAACACATTGCCACATGTTCCGTGACTGCGAAGCTTTACAGGAATCCATCCCGTCCCAAGGTGACGAACCTTTGTTATCCTGGGTAACGGGTATCTTTTTCGAGCCACCCCACTTCCATGACGAGCCTACACAGGCGTGGAAACTTCCGGTGGTGGAAACGCGCTGGTGTCCACAGTCCACGATTTTTGTGGATGGCAGTGTTTTTCACCATCGGTGGGTGCCAATCCGCGCAGGTGCCTCCGCAGTTACAGTTCCCGGCCTTTTTAAACATGCTGTAGCCGTGCACGGTGCCTCTGTTAACTCTTTTCGTTGCGAGCTTTATGCTTTGATCTTGGCTATCCATTTAACAGACGGGGACATCACTGTCGCTTCTGATTGTGCTAGTGTCCTACGTCGTGCCCAATTCTTGCAGATGCATAATTTTGAATGGGATTGTCCTTATCAGTTTGAAAATCCAGATTTGTGGGATCTGTTTCTTGTTGTAGCAAGGGCACACAATGGAAGCATACGGTTTGTCAAGGTCAAAGCACACACCAAAGGAGAAACATCGCAGTGTCCTCTTCTCACCGCAGGGAATGAGCAAGTTGATGCTTTAGCGAAAGCCACAGCTAAAGCTCTTTCTTCCGATCTTATAGCAAGGTCTCGCCCTTATCTCCAGCAAGCAGTTTCCGTGCAAGTTCACTTGGTTGCTACTTTAGTTAAGCGCTCGGCAGCTTGCCAACTTGCCCCTTTTGACGAGGACGAACAGGCCTCTGCAGGACTAACACAGACTGTGATCTGTACTTGTAAGCCCCGCAGGCGGCTAAATAGCAAGCGCCCTCGGAAATGCTACAGTAATTGTCATTTAATGGGACATTCTGTTCTGCTTGGGGATGTAGAGACAAAGGTGCTGCAGATGTACAGAACGAATACTTTACCGCCTGATGTCCTCTTTGACTGTCTTCGGCGCAGATATCTCGGCTTCTTCGCGCATCTCCAGCCAGAAGGGATGCAGTTTTCAGGGTGG